ACCTTTGTCAGGGTGTGAATCGCGGGCCTTTGGGGGGGGCCATCGTACGCGGTTCTTCCGGGTTTTTTTTTTTTGCTTTGGCAGCAAAACAACTGGAGCCGTCCCTGGCTCCGGTGTCCCCTCTGGGAAATGGGAGTCAGAGGCCACATCCGGCCCCCAGGCACAGGAGCCCCCCCTGTCCCCAGAGCGGGGCCCAGAGGGCTCTGATGCGCCCAAAACAGCCCGTTGGGCCCCCCACTCTGAGCCCCTCGCTCCGCCGGCTCCTCCCTGCGCCCCCCACCCGTGAGCAGCTCATCACACCTGCGCAGGGTGGGGCTGTGACCCGTCCCCGGGGGCGGGGCAGCCTGCACTGATGCTCCTGTCCCTCCCCCACTACCTCCCAGGTAGGAGTCTTCTCAGAGCCGGGGGAGGGGATGGGGGGGTGATGTGGCTCCTTAAGTGAGCCAGTGTTTGAGATCAGGTGTGTTTAATAACTAAACTTCTCGGGGTCCCCCCACATCATCCCCCTGCCCCCGAATATCTGCCTGCACACGGCTCTCCTTGGGCCCAGGCTGTTGCCCATTGACCCTGCGACGCTGCTCTGATGACACAGACAAATCCAGAGCAAACCGCTCCCTGCCTGGCAGGTTTACAGGCTAAAATCTGCAGCCAGGTGGCTTCTGGGGCAGCGGGGGCCAGGTTCCATTTGGGATGAAAGGCCTGGGACTGGTGCAAAGGCAGCGACCCGATGCCAGCTCCCCCCTGTGAGCACTGGGCAGCGCGATCCTGCAGAGGGAGTTACCTGCACAAAGGTTCTTTGCGGAGGCCGTTGTGGAGCTGTTACTGGCGGGGTTCTGGGCTGTGCAGGTGACGGCCAGGTGAGCATCACGGGGGCTCTGAGAGATGTGCAGAATGGACACATTGGGTACAACAGCGCCCCCTGCTGTGTGAGTCCAGCTGTAGGTCACATTGTCCCCTCCATCCCTGGCAGTGCAGCTCAGGTTGTAGTTACAGGTTTCACTCACACAGGTCACTGAGTCACAGAGGACAGTTGGCTCCAGTACTGGCTCTAAGAGGGGTGCAGAGAAACGTGGAACAGGATGAAATCACAGCAGCATCTTATTAGCTGCTGCCTGGAACTGCTGGGGGAAGAAGAACGCAGAGAGCTCTCTGAATCTTCGCAGCATGGTTGGAGCAGGGGCAGTGGGGAAGTGTGATGCTGTCACTACTAGGAAGTGGGGGGCAGATGGAAGGAAAGGATCATTTAGGGGATTGAGGGTTGCAGGGGGGCCCAGTCTCTAGGCTTGTTGGGGGTCTCAGCTGATCAAAAGTTTCCAGTGATATTTTTTTCTGTTGGAAAATGTGGGTTT